TACTCATTCACACATTTTATGCAATTACATATTCACATACTTATGAATGAACTGATTACTCTATCTTGTAGTATAGTTGTAGTAGTATTTCTGTTTGCTGGCTTTAAATACGTTCAATAAAATGTGTTACACTAGTAGTATTTGCTGCAGTAGTATTAGGATAATAGAGTAGTAGTATATTTGTTGGCTGTAAATACTATCAATCCAATGTCTGCTTCACATGGCTGTTGTTTTGAAAGAAGTAATGTGTGTGTGTGTGTGTGTGTTTGTGTGTGTCCACTCATACATATATATCTGCACACACTCAAAACTCACACAAACACACACACACACACACATTCCTCCGGTGGCTCCTCCCTTCACCGCCCCCACCCCCACAAACACCCGACCCCGCTGACAGCGCGGTCACGTGACACCGGGCCGTCCAATCAGGGAGCAGCGGCGCCGGCCCGGAGCGCAGCGGCATCGTCCCGCAGCAGATCATCCTCTGCTGGGTCCGATCCTCCGGGACTGGGGGGTTGTTTTGATTGAGGTTGACGGAATTTGTTTTTTCCACTCGCGGGGTTTTTTTTTTTTTTTCTTATCCCCGTTTTGTCGTGTTGAAATGCAGCATGTTAGCTTCGCTCTGTGAGCTCTCACCCCCCCGGCCGTTCCACACTTCAGCGACGGAGACACAAACTTGTTGTAACCGAGCTGAGGAGCAACTTTTCCAGCTGCCGCAGTAGTCAACGGGCTGTCCGATGCTAAGCTAACCCACTAGCCAAAAGTTTGGATTCTGTTTTGTTAAAAGTTCACAGGCGACAAGGTGAACTTCTCGCCTCGGGATTCGTTTGTCAGGCGAGATTTCCGGGAAGCTTTGACAGAGTGAGCTGCCCCTCGGAGGCTCACTTTTCCTGGGTCAGTGCGGTGCAGGTGCACCTCCTGCGGCACCTGCGATAACAGTAACTTAGCCCCATCCGCAGAGAGCTAACTTTAGCCTGTTCATAGCCTGAAGCACACGAAGACGATGTTGTTAAACTCATTTACTTTCGTCGCTGACATATTTAGAGTTTGAAGAAGTCGTTTAGTGAGTTCCAGTGTTTTATGACCGTCAGTGGTAACATTAGCTAAAAGCTACCCCGGCTAACCGTAGCCAGCAGCCCCGCTAGCTAGTCATTGACCCTCACACTTCTACCGGAGTGGCGACGTGGATGCAGGGCTGTAGACGCCGTCTCCCACAGGACTTTGGACACAGTGTGACTCTGCCGTGGGCTGCGCTGGGACTTCCCCTCTCCTCTCAGCCTCGTACATGTGACGGCATGAGGATTTCAAAAAGTTACCTCTTAGCGTTTTAAAGTTTTCATTTTTTTTTTTTGATCTAAAAGCTCTGCACCCTATGGTGCCGCTACGGCCACCGAGAAATGGATGTCTCGCAGGCCGCTTTCCCAAACGGTGAAGGGCGGCCGGGCGGCGGTGAGACCGGGGAGCATGCCTGGACAGATTCACCCACAGTCCGGGCGTGGGCTCACTCTGCCCCGCTCTGCCCGACCCGGTCCCTTTGGACAGCCGCGTACGACTACGAGGGAAGCGGCGAGGACGAGCTCAGCCTCCGGCGAGGGGACGTGGTGGAGGTCCTGTCCAAGGACGCAGCGATCTCCGGGGACGAGGGGTGGTGGACGGGTAAAATCAACCACCGGGTCGGGATCTTCCCCTCGAACTATGTCACATATCAGCCCGCTATTTACCGTCTCCCTGCTTCGAGTGGATCGGTGGGGACACGGGAGCGAGTCCCGAGCTCGCCCGTCCAGATTCCATTCAGTGAACTGGTACTAGAGGAGATCATTGGCGTGGGTGGATTTGGCAAAGTTTACCGGGGCACATGGAAGGATCAGGAGGTTGCCGTGAAGGCGGCTCGGCAAGACCCGGACGAGGACATAACAGCCACCTCCGGCAGTGTTAAACAGGAGGCGAAGCTTTTCTCCATGTTGCAGCACCCCAACATTATCAAACTGGAGGGAGTGTGTCTGGAGGAGCCGAACCTGTGTCTGGTTATGGAGTATGCCCGAGGCGGGACACTGAACCGGGTGCTGACCGGAAGGCGCATCCCTCCACACATCCTGGTCAACTGGGCCGTGCAGATCGCACGCGGGATGCACTATCTCCACGAGGAGGCCGTGGTACCCATAATCCACCGTGACCTGAAGTCCAGCAACAGTAAGCAATGATTCAAGTGTGTGTGTGTGTGTTTATGAGCTTGAGAAATGTAGATGAACAACTTCTGGAGGAAGTCCTAATGTGATTGCACCTGTTGCACATGATCCTCCTTTAGTTTGTGTTCAGTTTTTAAAACTCCACAGCCTCCTTTAGTTTCTGTAAGTCTTATCCCCCCACCAGACAGTTCCAGTCAGCATCTCCACATGTCAACCTGACTCACATACAGTGATTGTGTAAAGCAGTATTATGGATTGGAAAGTGTCAGCTTTATTATTTAATTATTTTATGTTGTTATTATGTTATTAACAGTTTTTTTTATTACAGTCTATACAGAAGTTGCACTAACCTCGATATTCACATATATTTCACAACATGGCAGGTAGAGCAGTGCCCTCTGCTCAGGATGGACTTAGAGAGTGTAGTTTGCAGTTGCATGAAGTGGTGGGGGATGCCATCAGGAGGATGTGAAATAAAGTCTGAGTTTGCTCAGCTGGGCTCCCTCCCCCCTCCCCCCTGCTCTCACCCCCAAGTCCTTTAACACACACACACACACACACACACACACACACACTCACACCTTCCCAGCCCCTTCTTCGCCCCAAGCTGAAATGTTGTTCAAATAAAGTCAGTGATTTACCAAACACATAATCAAACACACTCAGCCCACACTGTCAGGCCAACCAGAGCTAACACCAGAGGTCATAGGGAGGAAAAGAAGTCAGATGGATGTCAGACTTTGGAATAATGCTTTATTCAGCAGGGAATGAATATATGTTTGCAAGGTTTCACAACTGCTTCAGTTGTTGATGTTTTGCGAAACAAACTGGATGAATTGGACTTTTGGAAATTTGCAAGTCTAACTTTTGTGTTTCTCAATAACTTTGCAGGGTCGGGTAGTTGAACTTGATTTAGTAGCGATGGCCAACATTTGCATTAATTCCTCTGTGGAATGGTAACTGACAACAGACCAACAATGTTTAGATTCCCAGGACTGAATAATGAATGGACAGGCATCGTTGAGTCACAGGCTACCCCCGTTCCACTTAGGTGTGTTTATGTGTGTAATATGACTCCAAACACCATTTCTCCCTTTGTGAGCAGTTTTATCAACCTGGGGCCATGTGAGGAGCAGCTCTAGCACACCGATGTCTGTTTATCTCCAGCTGTGAGAGTCAATGTGTGAATGTAAAGACAGAACATGTGAAATGTACACAGACCAGACCCTCCATGATCACCAGATGAAGACATTTTATTGGATTTGAAAATGATTTAGGGAGTCTACTGTGGATTGACCATCAAAAGCCCATTCATTTACACGTTAGGTTATAAATACATTTATATGCTGCAAACATCATCCTGTAAATTTGATTGTAGTTACACATTTAAACACATGGGACGGTCTAATTATGACCAAAAATCCTCTAACTAATCCCCCTATATTCACACAAAACTAAAATATTAGTAAATATGTTTACTACATTATGTGTACAGATTTTCTCACAATAAGTAGTTTTTCCACATTATCACATCATTTCGAATGTGGACAATCAGTCATTGATTCTGGCTACATTTGTTTTCGAACTAAACTGACAGAAATACCACATTTCATGTGTACGATGCCCAATGGTCCCACCGTGTCCTGAACAGTTTCGAAGAACCCAACCCTGAAAGTAGTGTCTGATAGAAGATGAAGATTTGTGTTAATTAAAGGGCAGATGGAGAGAAGGGATTTAACTGCTGTTTAGACTGTTTGAGCTAATCGGATGTTTGGTGAACATACACAAACAAACTCCCCTGAACAGACACAGGCGGTGCTGCTAAAACAAGTGGATGTGTTTGTCCTGCCACTTCACTGTGACCAAGATACACAATAAGCTTTTAACAAAGAGGAGCTATTTAAACTTAGGAGAGAGAGTCACCTCACAATGTGCAAAACTGGCAAGTCTTGAGCCGTGAGCAAATTTAATAAATAATCTCTTCCAGTGCAACCACTAAGCAGAAAACATTGGCAAAAAAAATAGCACTCCAACATTACTGTTCGTTGTTGTAAGTAGTTCATAGTATAAGGGTCAGAAGTCTGACCATCTGTGGTCAATATATGGTCTTATCTAAATGAAGAGTATGAAAGAAGCTGCATGTGTTTGCTTTGAACCAGGGCACTGAGTTCACAAAAGACTCTCCTACACACAAATGGCACCCTGTGGTGTGTTGGGTTGTTCTCCCAGTGAAAAACCTAGAATAATGCAGCGTACAGAAGTTGTTGCATCTGCTAGTTCTGGCCTGTTGTCTGTTTGTCTTGGCATGCGTGCGATGGTCAGTTTGAAATGATAAAGGGAGAGAGAGAATTATCTACACAGGGTAAAAAAGAAAATGGGTATATTGTGATAAGTGGTTGTTATTCAGCAATCTGTCACTTTTTAAAATATTCACTGAGCACAGTGTCTGTGGTTGTATCCCTTCTTTTTTCTAGTTTATATTCAGTCAGGTTGTGTTTTTCTTACCTCTCAGGATGAACCAGGAAATAAACAGGTACATATGTTTTGAGTGGCAGAAAAACACCCAAACTCCTCCACCTTCACTCAACTCCTCAGCATGTCATTTACCAACTTTCAGTGTACACATGCTCCACGCAGACAAACATACAGCTATTTGATCAATGATTAGCCTGTAAAGTAATATGTTGGAAGTCAGCAAGATTTGTCCTCTCTCTTTTGTGTTTTTCAACCTAATCTGTAAAATCCCAGCCTGCAGGGAGGAATGTTGCTAATGAGGGATAAAAGCTTAACATACGTTTGCACAATGGACTGGTCAAGCAGCGGTTGCTAGGCTACTGTGGCCAGAAGAATGGCTAGGACTCGGAGGGTCTCAAAGCCCTCGTTTTGTTTTGTTCCGTTCATATTTAATCTCCCAGAGAGCAGCAGTACTCTTTTATAGCCGCAAACTGAGGGGGTTTTCTTCCCACTTCGTTATTTTTCTCCTTACTTACCTTGCTTCACTTGTTCCTTTCTGCTCCCCCCATGCTCCTTATTATTTTTCATGTCTGCTTTTTGGCCGGCTCCATTTTCAAACTTTAAAGGGTAATGTTGGAGTTACTTTTTCGTTTTAATAATCTAGAAACTTCCAGAGCAGAACAAATCCTACAAAGTGCTGATTCTGCTCATAAGTTACTCTCAGTGTAGCTGCAGCCCGATAGTGTGTGTTTGAAAGATGGTAGTAAAAGTGACTATAGTAATGCTGTTGTAAATTTCTCTGCACGTTCATATATTAATATTTTAAATGCATTTACATTTTCTAGAGAGTAGATGCATGTCCATGGTTCATGTTTACAACAAGCTGGGAATAAACCATATTTCCCCCTGTTCATTATCATGAAAGATGTCACTTGTCATCACATCAGCACGACAAAATGTTTTTAAATGACTTCTATCTTCCTTTATATCAGACTTGATAGACAATACTTGTTTGATAAATTTATAGTAGAGAGATTTGCTGTGGATAATGTTACTGATTTGTTTTTGTAATTCTTTCCACCCCCTCTTTGACCCTTCACTCATTCCCATTTCACAGCTTTGAATTAAACGTTCTCCCCAGGAGTGGTAATATTCATAAAGCAGGAGCTAAGAGTAAGAAATCATCCTGAAACCTGGCCCTGAGCCAGCTTGGCGCATAACCCACATTAACTTTGGAGTTTCACATCTCCGTGCTAGAGATAGTATGCCAGGAATGTGCGCTTGAACGCCACTGAAACTGATGGAGTTCTGTTTGGAGCGAGTGCAACAACATTCTCCCATCAATCTTAAGCTATTGTTAGACTTCATCATACTGTCCCGGTGGACCCCTCCCTCTTCCTGTCTGTTCTTCCACACACCCATCAACCTTTTTATGCCACATAACCAATATAAATACAAATGAGCAAGAATAATAAGAGGGGGCAACATGTGTCAAATGAAAGTTTAGAAAGAGGATGACAATGAATGACACTGTTATAACCCAGTAGTTGCTCCAACTTGGGAAATGTGCAGATAGCAATTGAACAGCCATTTGCATTGTTGGATATTTTTACAGATATTTATGCACTTAAAGGTTAATGAAGAAAGTAAATGGCAAATAATTTGCTAGTATCAACCCTTGTCTTAGTCATAATCAACTGATGAAACTGACAAATACGCTTTGTGTAAGTCGCTTTGGAAAAAACATCATCCGCAAAATGTATATAATATAATCCTGTAATGTGGTTGAATTTAAACATTCAGTCATTAATTTGCTCCTATTGCACTTTTAACTGTTGCGATTTTAGGTATCAAAAAAACTGGTCGGTCTTAGTTCTCTAGTCTGTTTCTATTGTTTTGGGGTGTGTGGTTTCCTTGTGAACTACTCTACCTCTGTGGGAACTCCTCTTAAAGCCCATTTTTTCATTACTAGGTTATAACAAGTTCACCCCAGGAGAGAGAGCAGTTCAGCTCGATGCAACTCAGAATACGTTTCCCTCAAGAGAATCACTTCTTCCCCCTCTGTTAATTTTTTTGTTGTCTTGCTCCACTTCTGGGATAAGTAGACTCTGAAGAGGAAAAGTTACCAAAGCTTTACTAGGTGTTGCAGGGCAACTCTTTCCCCAGCTTCCCACAAATACCCCTGGTGACACACAGACAGTTACTGCCTGTCTTTTCTCTGTGGAGAGAATGGGCAGAGGGGAGAGAGGAGGAGTGGAGATGCTTTCACTGTGTTTTTTATGACCTCTCCCTGACTGCACCTATTGTTGCGGGGCAGGGTGAAAAGGAAAAGGGCCCACAGCTGAGAAGGGCTGCCTTCCGAATCAACCAATCCCCCCGTAGCTCCCGAGCACATTGATAGTTACTAGTGCAGCAGAAGCTGCTAGCTGTGCACCTCAAACTTTATTTATCATGTGAATTAGCCTAGTAATGGTTTAATCCAAGTTTTAACTGACACAAACCAGAGGAGGAAGAGGATAGACGAGAAGAAAGTGGCCTGAAATGACATGA